TGTGCAACTTTTCTCATCTTTGAGTTATGCGATTGTCTCACTGCCATCGCCCTCGTCTCAACATTCTTGTACACTTTGCCCTTTGTGGCCAACGTCATTACAACCACGCTAGTCTTACCGTTCGTGCTTTTGCCGCTTGTCCTTCATCTTCTTCACGATTTCTGTTCATAGTGCCTGACTCGTTCCCTGGGACATCCTCTGGCCGTCATGGGCCTTTCAACTCATTCCAGGAGCCAGAAATGCAACAAAGTGACGTCACCTACCCCGAACCCACGAGAACCAGAGATCGGGCTCAAGTTTACATTCGGCTACTCAGAGCCAGCCGCGCAAGAAGTAGTAGACTATGGCCAGAAGCTCACGCCGCGCCTGGTTGCTTTGTGGTGGTATGGTGCCACGCATTTCAACAGACGATAAAGACCAACAGGGCCTCCGTAGTGAGAATTGTGAAGTTTGTCGGGGCCATCCTGGGTTTGAGTTCGGGCTGATCAGAAAACCTAACTCCATTGGGGACTGCACCCAGCATTAGATCGAAACTGAGCCGCTGCATGGGATGTAGGACCTCAGGAACGGAATGCTAGGCAAGCCGTGTAGTTCGCTTGGTGATCTTCTGCTGCCCGACACGGTTTCAAGGCTCCAAGGTCTGCCGAAGACAAAGATGCAGTCTGCAATACCGGCCACGACACCAGTCTGCATCTTGCATAAGGCAAGCGCCAGTTTTCAGCCCACACGTGCAGAGAGTGAGCGAGAGAGAGCGAGAGACAGACAGATAGATGGATAGATAGATAGATAGATAGATTAGATAGGTAGACAGACAGGCAGACAGATAGATAGATACTTGGATACATGGATACAGTAGATAGATAGCTAGCTAGGCATACCTGTATAAACACACATACATATATATATATATATACATTCACATGCACGTGGTTGTGCGCTTGGCGTTCCCCTGCCCCCGATGGTATCACCCCCCAGCCACTGCCCACTTGCCTGGAGCTGGTCTGCCTGAACTCAGCAGTCCAAAACCATTTTATAGAGGGAGGCGGGGAACTAAACACCTAAGCTCAAGGCCCAAGCCTTTCCACAGAGGTGGGGAGGGTATGACCACACGCAGAACCGTTGCAGGAAGGGCAAAACCACCCAACCATTCCACAGGGTGGTGAGGGAGGAGGGGAAATTACCTCCGGGGCTCAAGGCCCAAGCGATGCGGGGGCGTCGGGGCGAATATACAAATATATACCTACATTGTATATACATATATATATATATATGTATACACACATACGTACATATAAATATATAATGTATATATGTTGGTACAACTATAAACCCTTCGCCTGTATAGGAATGACAGCCAGATGTCGAAAGCCGCGAAGCCCTCTGTTTGCCAGCCTGCACGGCTTCTTCCACTTCAACGTTGGAACCTCAGATTTCTATGCAGATGCTCCTGTAAATTGCCTATTGAACTAGAAGACCTTATGTTTCACAAAGGCCGTGTCTCAGACTAAGTCTTGTACTCATGTTGCAGTGACGCTATGGGCACCTGTTCAGCGGCTGAAATTATGAAATTGCTGATTAAAGTTGGATTACATCGCATTACATATGTCATGTACATATGTGAAGACTAAAGTGTAGGCATTAGGCTATTGAATGCTGATCAACTATGAACCCGAAATTAGGTTTCGAATTGATTGAATATGCAACACAGCTCGAGCTCGAACACGACTTAGTCAAGCACCGGAGGAGTATTTAAACACATCTACATTCCCAACATGTCCAACAACATTTGGGGTGTCTGACAGGGATCTCCGAATATGCGCGCGCGAGAACGTGTGTTCAGGTGTTGGAACAAACCCAAAAACTGTGTGGGGACACGTTCTGGAATTCGGGATATCCACCGATTCGACTGCTCGAAACATGCACCAAATTCCAGACTTTCCAACAATTCCAAGCGTTCTAACAGTAATGAAACTTTGGAAGTCTAGAATCCGGAGTGTTTGGAAGTATTACAATGTGTGGAATCAACTGCATTGTTGGATTTTCGGCACAGCACAGTCCCAAGACGTATCCCAACATGCATAGAGTTCCAAAACTGTCACCCAGATTAAGTCGCATAGGTTTAAAGCTTCCCTTTACACCTGTTTGATAGAATTGGGACAAAAAAGTCGCAAGCAAGAAACAAATCGTGGACGGTGCGTGGTCAGAAGGTACACACTGACATACTGTCTGGGTGGACACCACATGCGAGGACTTCACACTCATCATTGCACAGGTTAGTCCTTTGCGGGTACAAAGGTATGTACATACATACGTGCATGCAAGCATACATACATCAATACGTTCACATTCACTTTCCACGTGACAGAGCCGATACTCGGCTAAAGGACAACGTGAAGGACAGGCATATTGCCCGGCGTCGTGCTGCGTGCTGTGTGCATGCTCCCAACCTAATCCTCGGTACGAAGACCCAACAAGCAGGACTGCTGTTGGCACCGTCTGCAGGAAAAACAGTATGTGGGAGTTTCCGAAAATGACCTTATTTTGGGATCCTTATAATAAGGATCCTACTATTTAGGGTACTGTATTAGGGTCCCCTCTTTTCGGAAACCCCCATGTGTCATGATACAACTCCTCGGCCCTGCCTAGTAGTGGCCTCTCGAAGGAACTTCGCCCAAATGGACATACATTCATACCTACCTACCTACCTACCTACCTACCTACCTACCTACCCACCTACCTACCTACCTACCTACCTACCTACCTACCTACCCACCTACCTACCTACCTACGCAAGTACGTCCGTACATACTTATATATGCAGATGTGGATACATATACATGTTATATGTGTATATATATATATATGTGTATGTATTGTGTATGCCTGTGTTTAAGTGTAAACATGTGCTCACTGCATTTCCAGGCATAGCCAGTAGGCCTCTGTAGGGTTTTGCATTAGCCTGACCGTGCTAGGCGCAGCAAAGCTTGTAGCAATATTCGAAGTGCATCGTCATGAATTGATGCCTTATTCGGGTAACTTATCGCGCGGACCACATGAAAACTTATGTTATGTTTGATCACTCCTGCTCTCTGAATGGATAAGCTGTGGATACTGCGGCACTGTTCCCAATCAGCCACTGGAAGGGTGTAGACAGCAAGAATGCAGTTAACTCTTTTCTTGCGAATAACTGTGCACAAGTCGATATTAAAACAGCTGCTTCGGTCCAACGATCAATAGCCAAAAAGGCCTGCGTAGTCACAGTCAAGAACGGTCCTACAGTTGGCAACAGGACATTGACGTAGGTGATGTTGTTTGAAGTGCAAACAACTACGGCAGCAACAGCGGCAACACACCTCCATTGCTGTAAAGTGTCCGAAAAAGGCGGACCACTGCGTTTTGGGCGTGGCATCCTTCCGAGATTTTGTGTGCAGGGCTGATGGCTGCCCTGGCGGATTCGAACTTCCCTCACAAGACTGCGTAGTTGCACAGACTGAATCGTGTTCTTAATTTGCTTGCCAACCACATCTCGAAACGAAACGACCAGCCGCCAGGGACCAACATGTCCACGGTTTGAACTAGCAGGATTATGGGAATAATTCCCCTTGAGCAAACATGCTGTAATGTCCTGAGGTTTCCATGGCACATTAACAGGTAAGCTGTCGCACCCCTCGTCGAGATGCTTCTGCAGAGATGTGATGAAGAGCATGAACCCCAGGGTCTGTGTACCTGCAGAAGCGTGCACACCTTTGTCCATCAAGGGCTGCCATAGACCGTGGCGAGTCAAACCGGAGATTTCCACAGGCTGTGTGAAATGGGGGTTTCCGAAAACAGGGGACCCTAATATAGCACCCTAAATTGTAGGATCCTTATTATAAGGACCCCAAAATAAGGTACCCCTTATTTTCGGAAAGTCCCAAATGGAACTGCGAGGTCCTGCAACGCGAAGATCTGAACTCCAGCAGGATCCACCTGTACCCCACCACGGAAGCGGAAGAGTCAACAGTTGAATCTAGAAGCTAAACAGGCTTCAGGGAGCTCCTCTCATAGTGGGAGCATGCTACCAAACAGACCCGCTGCATGGGTGACATGGCCCACCCACACGTACGCAGTTTCATGAAATTCTACCTGTACTATCATCAGTAGACCGAGAATCATGGACTGACCCAACAGAACTGGGAAAGGAAGCACCTAGACTTGAGAGGCCTTCGCAAGCTTTGACGGTGGCTGTTGTTGATCATGGCAGGGTCGTCGGAACCAGAGTATCATGCCAGACCATAATCACACCCTTTGAGGTTCTACTTTGGACTGTTCTGATAGCTGACAGTTTGTCTCAAGTAGGTGGCTCTATGACCCTACGGTGCACAAGGGAGCGCAACAGCCAGCCTTCATCTTCTGCAGTGCTTTCTGGAAGGTGTACCGTGCACGAAATCGATGGAAAGAATTAGTTGCCTGTTCAGGGTTCATAACACAAGCAGACCCCGACATGCCCATGCTGCAGCCAGTAGGTTTCAGAAAAAAAGGACCGTTCCACGGCAGGTGAGGCCCACGCTAGGCAGATTGAACTAGGAAGAGCTCCTTCCCTTGCCAGGAGATGCTCCAAAGAGCGCAGCCTCAAGTCTCCACTCAGGTCTGATGTTTTCTGACATAACATGACAGCTTGCCAAAGCTGAACTCTAGCATCCAGCGACCCTAGAAATCTGAACTCTAGCATCCAGCGACCCTAAAAATTCGGGCTGGAAGATGGATAAATTGCATTGAAGCACACAAGAAAAGTCGTCGCTCACACTTTCAAGACCACATTCCGTGCAGAGGCAAGTAGCGCATTGGTGTGGGTCGAGACGGACACTTCTTCCAGCAGGACCTGCGGTCGCAGCGTGAACCCGGCCATGTCCACCAACATTCGCAAAATAAGTTGAATGCAAAAGGGTGACGACGTTTTGATCCTGTATGATACTGGATACCACAGCTACCTGTAAGTTCGTCACTGAGGACAATCCTGACTGTGATGAAACAGCAATGCCGGCACGATGGCAGTATTGACGGAATGCGACCTTGATTGACAAAGACAGCCACTGCAACAGCAAAATCGTTCGGGCTCCATCCCGCTCTTTTGCTTTGCTTTGCTCGGGGTAAGAGCCATGGGTCCCCCCCCGCTCCATCCCGCTCTCTCGCCCTCTCTCTCTGTCTCTTCGTTCTGTTCTCTCTCTTCTTCCACCGGGTCAACGGAGATGTGCTCTTTCTTTCGCCAGGGTTGTGCCGCTGTTCTCCGTCTCTCGCGCTCTCTTGACTGTCGGCACAACGATGCCGCCGCTTGGCATACATGCTCTGGAACGCCCCTGACTTCTCATCAACAGCAGGGCCTTTTGCAACTGGAAGCGCTGGAAGGCTGGCAAGTTGCGTTTTGCAAGCAATCTCTTTCCAGAACACCAGCAGTATCGGTAGGCTAAGTTAGAGAACAGGAGAAGCCTCTAGCTGGACTTGACCCAAGCGAGCTCTCTACCGGATTTACAAACAGCTCTACTCTATTTGCCGAGGATATCCTCCCGGCCAGTTTCTGCTGGAAACAGCTTTGGTGCAGGCCGGAATCTCCGAACAAGCTCGAAAACTACGACAAATGGATTCCATCATGTGGGTTCGCAGCGAGATTTGCAAAATGCAACGACGATCAGCAACAGCCACCTTCTCTAGGGAGCATAACGCAACGCCTTGCTGCGGGATGTCCCGGAGCGGGCTGGCGGATTCAGTAGAAGACAAGTTGATGACCAGGACTACGAGTGCGGCACTGTCGCCCTAGCACCACGGCGGCAGAAGTCTCAATGTCGTCCTTGGCTTTGCTCTCCCTCTCCGGCACCATCCACCCCGGTGTAACATGCCCAAAGCTCCGGGTGTCGCGTTGATTTTTGGATCACAGCTACGCTGCATCGTTCAATTCGTCGTCTCAACATCGAACAGAAAGAGAAGTTGCCACACAACATGTACGCATCAGGCGAGTGTCGAAGCATAATATGACCACAGGCGCGCGGACCGCCAATGCAACTTTTTTTGCATGAGAAACCGGAAACCATGCGCGTCCGAAAGAGAGTCACTAGAGGTGGCTTCCACGGCCTTCCGAAGATATCTTGGCTCCGCAGGTCTTGGGCTTGGGATGGCTTGGGTTTGGGGATGTTTTGGGATATTGCTCCGGCACCGTGAGCCGACCCCCAACGAACGTTCTGCGTTAGTGTGCATATCAAACAGTAACCCTAAACCTATGTAATTGCTGATAAACGAAATCGCGGAAAACTATTGCCACAGCGGACAAAGAAGGATCATGTGACGTTTTGGCCTCAGTCGTCAGTGCCTTTCGATCTTCGAGCCAGCGTTTCATAGCCGCGGCCTCGGATACCTTTGGCGATGATGTTGCTCAGGGTCCTACGCTTCAGCTTAGTCCCGGCAAGGAGGGCAAGCAGCGCCTGCGCTCCCACTTTCAGATTTACGGAATCAAGCGGTGAACATGTAAGGTTAGGTGTCCTCTGCTTCAAGTCTTTGCAGGTCTGAACAACCAAGTCCCTTCAATACATTATCCACCGGTCTGAGTTGCACAGAGCTGAACAAGAACAACATGTCGAATGGCCTTTGAGACAACATCCTCGCCGATTCCCCCAGATAAGACCAACCTTGGTTAGCCGGGTGCAAGACAAGGGGTCTAACATCACCTCCCCGAAACTGAGCACGCGAAGAGAGAGAGAGAGGGAGAGAGCAGCGGAGAGAGAGAGGGTTGCAAAGAGGTGGTGTAATCACAGTGCACACTGCGGACTGTTTCACAGATGAAAAATCATCAACACACACCATCTCTTCTCGTTTCACATAGCACACAGCTTCTGCTACAATGTTGCGAAAAAATGCTCGATATGTTTTACGTGCGTTATATAGCGTATCCAAAACGCAAAGACAAAGCAGCCTAGGGTTGTCAGTGACCTGGGTGGCTTTAGCATGGGCTTGGCGTGCTAGTTAAATGTGGATCTTTGCCTTTGGGCAAAGCATGTGCTTCGGTCCCTGCAAAACTGATGTTGAAGTGCGCAGTTGGCTTTGAACTTTAATCTGTGTTTTTAAGTGATCGAAGTCATGTCCAATGTGTTGTCCAAGGACTACGGTCCACATACTAGCCAATCCTGGGATTAGGCCGAACAATCTTGCGTGTAACTTTGGCAAAAATACCTGAAAGCATGGGGCGGGTAATGTGAAAATCCGTGCCTATGAGCGTTGACAGATGAATACTCCTTCATCTGGATTTGGTGTCTTCGTGGAATATTGCTCTCCTTTCGCGGGACTTTCGCCCTGCCTTTCTCTCTGCCAGTTTGTGGTAGCAGCAATACGTTGCAGCAGTAGTCGTAGTAGTCGCAGCAGCAGTCGTAGTCGACGTCGTGTCGCTGTCGTTGCCGATGTCGTAGCAGCAGCATCAGTACTTGCAGTAGCAGCAGCAGCATTCGCAGTAGCAGTAGCAGTGGCAGCGGCAGTGGC